TCACCCCAAAGGCATGACGATAAATATTCGGCAAACGCTGTTCGGAATTCTAAAAGACTGAAGAAAACATTCCCGGCGAGAGTCCCTCGTATGGCCGCTGCCAAGCGGCTTCAATAATTTAAACCTACTTCAAATATTTCATGAAGTCGGATTTCTGCCTATTCAAGCCGTTCATTGATTATGTTAAACAATACTTTTTATAGTAGTTTTCCCGGTCTAGACTTCATTTTAAGTCTTTTTGTCCTTTCCGTAACCCACCCACCTCAATTTTAATTGCAGTAAAATAAATGCAAGCGGTTTTAGTTCCTAACTTATTGCGTCATCACGCACTTATGCGGCTCCTGGTGTGCGCCCACCCTCTCATTTTCCTTTAACGACGAATATGGTAAGACACTTACACGGGGGAAGTTTGCAATTAGGCTGCCATACGAAGAACTCTTATCGAATTTTCGATTCTACCGATGTGGATAGATACACGTCATATAGACAAGGATTGCGATTTATTAAAAGGGCAGTGAAGGGGACCTGGGTACAGTAAGAACGGGGAAAGTAAGCACTTCATTGGAAAACTGGAAGACCATCGAGAGGTTGAGATTCCATAAACCTCTATGTATTTGACATAGAGTTAGCCAAACTCATCAACGTAGCTTCCACTTTCCGTTTTGAGTTAGCCGACTCTTGAAGGATCTGGCGCATCTCTCCTTCTAGCTGCAATAAGAAAAGAGGAAGTGAGGAGACGTAAACAAGCTTTAGACAAGAACAAAATCAGAGAACTTGTTCACATAATTTAAGCAATGCTGGTGTCATAGACACAAAAGGGCCCGGCAAAATGTCAAAAGTCGTCATCTATTTCACGGACTGTACACCATCGAACTTGAAGAGGAAGTAATGAAACCCAAACTGACCAAGCAAGAAGGTTAATAGTATATATTATCTATGCCCCCAAAACAGATATAATTCAGATGACCGTCTAAAAAAGCCTTATCGACTTTACTTCGGTTGTCATCAATACTTTTTTAAGAGGAAGAAAGCCACTGAAGAAGGACAAAAAGTGCAAACGACATCGGTGGAGTTAAGAGAATAAGTTCAGTTCGTTAAGCATTTGATAAACTGATTATCAAATGTACATCAAGATTACAACCAAAGACTGCAACGTTACAACACAGCGGTTGACCAGTGGGAATCCAACTTCTTAACGATTTCCGGTGAAAAATCAAGGGATATTGAGAAAGCGATCTACACACGGGCACGAAAGGTCCGTAACAAAAATGACCAGGAACTAGAAGATAAATTGATCAAACTTCGACCGCCCCGCACAACCAACTCTCAGGGCGACCTCGTCCATAAACTTTCCTCCAAACCCCTCACCTGTACATAACTTGCAGTCCTCGAACGGGGAGCAACTTTCAACACAGCAGACGCTTCACCCACTGAATTCATTGCCGCATTTAAATCCATTCTCCAATCAAAAAGGCCTCAGACGAAACAAAAGCGTTAATCTGCCACAAAACATCATCGCTGCTTATGCAACACAATAGGTGTGAAACTCTTGGCCAAGAAGAACAGAGAGCATTAAAAAGCCTTAGAGCGGATGAAGACATCATCATTCTACCGGCTGACAAAGGTCGTTCGACAGTGGTGCTCAACAAATCTGGTTACCAAAAGAAAGCCCAGAGCCTGCTGGACGATTAACAGTCGTATAAGAAATGTCCAGCCAGTGAACTGAAAAATCTGCTTACTTAAATGAATAAAAGTCTGGCAAAGCTCAAACCAAATGGTGCAATCACGCCCAGCGATTAGTTTTCCATGAAACCAACAGACAGACCCAGCACAACTTTACGGTCTGCCGAAAGTGCGAAAAGAGGTCATACCACTTAGTCTCTCTTCGTAGCACCCCTACATACGGTTTAGCAAAATGGATGTTTTCTCATCTTAAGTTCCCAGCTGTGGGTTCGACAACAAACGTAGCCTCTGCCAGACAGTTTCTTGAACGCATAAAACATCTGAAGTTAGAGCCAGACGAATCCATGGTGTCCTTTGATGTTGTATCACTCTTCACCTCTATTCCACAATAGCTGGCAATTGATGTTGTGAAACAGCCTCTAACTGAACAGTACGACGAGACACCCCTGAAGTCTGAACATTTGCTGGAACTTCTGCGGTATTGCCTTAAAACCTACTTCACATCTGGTGGGCAAATGTATGAACAAATTAAGGGCACTCCAATGGGCTTCCCCCTATCAGGCCTGATTGCTAAAGTGGCCCTTCAACGGACTGAACAACTGGTCTTCACCAAGTATCAACCGAAGTTTTGGGCTCGTTATGTCGATGACACTTTCATCATTATCCAAAAAATCCGATATTGAACACCTCAAAGAGTTACTAAACTCGGTTGACCCAAATATACAATTCAAAAGTGGAAAGATTGACGCTTGAGGCATGGTACCCAGACGCTAACTCTGTTAACAGGCATCTGAACCTCCCTGCGGCCTACAAAGTCCTACGCCATTGCGTTAGTAAAGGACAGGACCTGGTCAAACCGAACCTAGGATTTGTACACAAAGACGGCCCCTTGACGAAACCACCTGAAGAGGGAGCAGGATTACCAGCATCCTCTACCGTGAGGACGGGACACAACACTAATTGCCGTCAAGTTACGCCAAAATCCATGCGCAGGGCCAAGCAGCGAGCGCAGAAAAATCGATTAACCTATGGCCAACACACAGCCACAACTTTGAATCGCTGATCGATAAAGTCAGTTCTCATTTTGACAACGGACAGCCGGCCCAGCTGTCCGAAACGTCAGCAGAAAAAGAAACATAGTCAGGTAAGAAAGCCTGATCTATGATTCTATGCCCGGAATTCTTCACTTTTCAAACTTGATATCCTTGTTTAATTTGTTACTAACTGTTCTCTCGTTCGCCTTAAAAGTGACAACCACGCGCTGCTGTAGATAGTCAGGCTGCTCGTTTTAGAGCGTTGGACTACTTCCCAACAGATCTTGGGTTTGAGGCTTGGACGGTGCAAATCCTGGAGTTGGCTATGGCTGACTGATGACAGTGAACAAACCAGGAATGGTCATTCGAGTCACCATTGCCAATTTCGGTAACGTTCTTCTGCCTATGACACTAACCGCTCTGCGGCTGCTGACGAGGCTAGAGTGCGAGCCTTAAGTAAATACTGAAAGTGATTCCAGAAACCAACTGGTGAGCGCCTATTTATGAACGATGAATTACCACAATTGGCAGCCTTGGATGCCACCAGATTCAGGGCTCTATGACAGTTTAAAAATGCGACAAATTTATTCACATTCTGGAAAGGCAACACAGGTCCCTCATCCAGCTTTTCATTCCCGAGCAGTGAAATTGCGGAGCCAAATATGAACGGACAAAAATAAGTGTGAGGTGCCTGACATGGTTGAAAGCCGGCGTTCCTCGCGTGCCGCATGTGTCTTAAATGTTCGTTTGGGATTAGCTTGAAGGCACAGTTTTGTGGTCTATGTAAGAGACACATAAAGTAAAGAAACTGGGAAGTACCTGCAATATTCGGCTCTGCGCGACTTCTTCAACCTGCTTAACCCGCAGATCAGCCATTCCCGAGGCGGCAGATAAGGCTTCCTCAAGTTCGGCCCGATGGCTGGCCCACCTCTGTTCACTTGTTCGAAGAGCTGCCATGTGTTCTCTGTGTGAGTTAGAAACAAGTAGAAGAAGTGTCCTTAATTGTTAGGCGGATTTGGTAGATC